CATTCCGGAGTCGAAATTGCGAGGGCATCCGAGGCTTCCATGATTTGCTACCGAACCCACCGCCGCCGCCGGCCAATGCCGCATGTCCAGCAGCCCGCGCTCCGCCGTTGCCTCCGTGACATCAGGCGCCGCGCCGCATAACCGCATGACGCCCTCCCACGTCCCCGCGGTGAACAACGCGCTCTGCCTGCCCTAGCAGAAGAACATCAAAAAGAGAGAGAGGTACCGGTACCGCTACCTTTGCCTTGTCTTCGCCTTTTTGGGCCTCCATGGAGGCCCTTGTCGTCACCGCTGGATTTGCCTCGAAATTCTGGTCAGAACGCACCCTGGTAGAGCTCCAGGGAGTAGCGGCATCGGTGCCTTGTGGCTTCTCCATAACTGGCGTGCACACAAGCCTTAGTGGGCCTTGGAAACGACAGGGCCGTTTTTGTTACCGGTCCCGTTTTGCCGTGTCTGTGATTGGTGCCAGCCGTTCTAGTTATGGTCCCGTCGCCGTTGTTGTTACTGGTTCTGGTTCTGGTTCCGATTCTTTTGTTGCAGATGCTGGTCGCCATTTGTTTACCGCTTCCATTTTCAAGAGATGCTGTTTCTGAAACGATCGGGCGGGCGGCCATGGGGGGTGATCCACATGGGGGGTGAAGAGAAGGGACGTAAAGGAACCCTTTAGGGACTCTTTCGGGTACCCACTGGCTCCAGAAAGTCGGGGGTGGACAGAACCCCCAACAGTGACGCGTCGATTGGTGGATTGTCCGTGTTCGGTTTTCGAGAGGGCGCCGTGGCCGTTATTTTCCAGGCTTGCGCCCGCCAGGTTTGGGCCTCAGGTCGTTTTCACTGAACCACGTTTTACTAAAGGGAGGCCTGCCCATCCCCGAGAAAGGGCACCTTCAGGGCCTTTTTCTCGCCTCCCATTTGTGAAGGGGCCCAAGGACACAAATAAATACACACAAATAACAAGATTCCCCATGTGTTCTTATATTTTCTGGTTTTTTGTCTTCCCCCTCACTTCCCATATTTTCCCATCTTTTCCTGGGAGTCAACGATTAATAATTGTGTCTGTGTGTTTGGGCCACCCCCCGCTGAGTCTGCCCTCCTGAGTTTGGGCCACCCCCCGCTGCCACCTCCCCGAAAACGAGGCAACGGCGGCCCTGCCGTTGCTGGGGCCCACCATCGGCGGCACAGACTGTCGCAGGCCCGCCCGGCCTCAGGTCGGGCATGTCCCCCTACAGGCGGATTTTGGACGGAAAATCTAAAACAGTCAAAACAGATTCAAAAAGTCAAAACAAATACAAAATCTGAAATAATCAAGAACAAATTCAAAATGGTCAAGCAAGAATCGGAAAATCGCTCCCAGACCATTTTGTCGCCTATTTCTGACTACTTCCCCCCTGTAGAGGCACCGGCCCGCATTGTGTCCAGGAGCTGGCGGCGCGCACAGCGTGGGGCCGCGACGGGGGGGGGGGAGGGGCCGTCTATAAGAAGCAGCCCGCCGGTGCCGTTGCCGGGGCCCACGAGGCGGCACACACGGTCGGAGGCCCGCCCAGAAACTTCTGTCGGATCTGCGCTGGCTGGGGCCCAGCCGGTGGCGGCGAGCCCCGTTCCGGGGAGGGGTGTCCAGGAGTCGGCGGCGCGCACAAGGGGGGGGTGGGCGCGAGAGGGGAGGGGGGGCGTCTAAGTGGCAGCCCGCCTTCTTAGTGGAAGGCCCCATATGCCCCCCTCGCGCCAGCCCCGTGTTGTGCGCGCGGGCAAATAAAAAAAACACACACACACACACACCAGAAGCCCAGAAGTCCGTCAGGAGCTCGTGAACGTTTTTTTCTTCGTCGTTTCGACACTGGGCGGAAGGGTGGGGAGGGCCTCGGCGCCAGGAGGGCCTCGGCGCCGATCCACGCGATACGCGCGGCGCTCCATAAGTGTTTATTCATGCATATGGTGAGCGTTTTCCGATTCGGCGTTTCGACATTGGGCGGATGGGGAGGGGGGGTCTGGCTCCGGATCTCTGCTTAGTGCGGCTGTTTGCAGCCGTGCCTTCTGCGACATGGGGGAGGCTCCACCCGCTTGAAGCGGCCCCGGCCCAGAGAACAGCCAAGACCTACTCCATGCTGCGGGGGGGGGGGGGAAAGGGGGGGGGTGCGAGGGCCCACGCCGATCGGCAAAGCAGTGCGTAACAAAAACCATCGCCTCCGAAGCTTCGGCGCATGCGCTTGTCTGCCGTGCTTCTGCTGCGGCCTCGGCCGCCAGCCTGCCGAACACGGTGCTCGGCAGCGGCGCGGCGGCAGCGCCGCCGCCCGAGGGCCGCGCCCCGCCCCGCCCGAGGGTCGGGGGGTGCCGAAGGTGCCCCTGGCGCAGGGTGCCCCTGGAGGAGGAGGAGGAGGAGGAGGAGGAGGAGGAGGAGGAGGAGGAGGAGGAGGAGGAGGAGATGGAGAAGTGGCGAGAAGGCGGAGGAGGAGGAGGAGGACGAGGAGGAGGAGGAGGAGGAGGAGGAGGAGAAGGACCAGCGTCTCGCTCCATCCTGTGGCCCCCGCGGGCCCTCCCCAGACACGCCCACGCCAGGACAAAGAAAAATCGTGACGGGAGGCTCTTGGCCGCGTTCGGCCTCTGGGGGCCCTCGTTGGGCCTCGTGGGGACGTCCAAGAACGGCTCGGGATGGAAAGAAACTGGCCCGTGGAAAAAGGGTCGGGACTTCCAGGGGCCCCGCATCGAAAAGCACACGGCGTCACATGTCTGGGTATGGGACTCGTGATGGGGTGCTCGGGACGGGGGCCCCTTGGACATCCAGGGAGCTCCTCTTCTGTGTCAATTCATCGGAGCCTCCCGTGCAGTCTTGCTGGCTCCTGCGAATCGACGCCCTCCGACGCTGGTCGACTATAATCGAACCGAGATCGATGCTAATCGGCGCTGAACCGACGCTACTCGACGCTCACCGACGCTAAATCGACGACACTCGGCGCTTCCTCTCCGAGCACCCGACGCCAGCGCACGCGACCGCACTCTACAGACGGAGATAATTACGAGGACCTGCGAGGCTCCCATGACTTGCTACCGAATGCCTCCAGCGAGACGCACGTCGATTCGCGAAACCGACGGAGGGCTGCCCACGGGGACCCTCGAGCGACACTGCCGAATGGGCCCCCGGGGACACCAAGGAGTACCGACTCCGACCGCTACTCCCCGGACTTCTCATGGGGTGTGTTCTGACCCGGACATCGAGGCGATTCCAGCGGTGGCGACGACGGAAGCCCAGGAGGCCCAAACAGAGGAACACGAGGGGAGGGTAGAGGTCTGTGTACCTTTCCCTCCTCTGGGAGCCCGCGCAGAACTCCTCAGGAGTCGTGTCTGGGGAGGTGGGGTGGGGGCTTCTGTCAGTGCCCGACGGGAGCACCCTACGGTTACGTAGGTCGGGCATGTCATCCTATAAGCGGATGTTGGAAGAATAATTATAACTTGTCAACAAATACTCCGAATAGCCAAAGATAATCGAAACATCGCCCACATGTTGGACTATTTGAAGTGCTTTGGATAATAGTTTAAATATAGCTCCTGGAGACGACTGAAAATAATAGACTATTTCTTGTGACAATGTTTGGTTTTCCTCCTGTACAGGAACATGCCCGACTAAACCTGTGTGGCCACGGGCGGATATTGGAAGAACAATGGAAACCAGTCAAAAGAAACCCAACATAAAACTCAACAACAGTACAGCAGATCGTCCCCAGAAAATGCTGTTGGCTTACTTTTGACCACTCCTTCTGCAAAGGGACATGTCCGACAGGAACACCGTTTTAGAAGAAGAAAATCCGCCATAAACATAAACTGTAGGCGTTCCGCGCAGATTTTGTGGATCTGCGCTGGACCAACCCTCCCTGGCGCGCGGAGCGCGCCAGGGGCGGCGCTGGAGGCGCCGCCCGGGGGGGGGCCCAGCGCGGATCCAAGAAACCCGCGCGGAGCGACAACAATTTATGTTTATTGTGTTGTTTCTTCTTCGACCTTTGGGTTATGTTGTTCCCATCGCACTTTAGCACCACATCCCATACATGAGTTCGAGCACCCGGAAAAGTGTCAAAAGAGTGTCGAACCAGTGTCGGAACAGTGTCAGGCGAGTGTCTCCCAGGGCCCGACACGTGAAAACCCTGGAAGGTCGGTACTTTTATGGGCGCTTGACATCCTTCCTGACTACCGACCAGACCATCCCAACCCAACCCGAAGACGCGACTTTGACCCGGATTTCGGGTTGGGGGTGGGGTACGGGTTCCATGTGTTTTTTCAATGTTCCCCGACCCCCCCCCCCACTGGAAATGGAGGGTGAATTGAAGCCTTCGGGATGGGTTGGGGTGGTTTGGTAGGTGGTGACTTCCTGGCGAATTAGGCTAAAGTAGGCTGGAGCATCATATAACCTTTGGGCCAGGGGCACCTGCGGCAGCGCCCGAGAAGACCGCGCACAGCGGCTTCCGCGACGGCCCGCACGCGCAGCCCAGCGCCGGCGCGGCGGCCGCCACGCGCCCGTCGGCGCCCCGGCTCAGCAGGCCGAGGTCGTTGGTGGTGACGGGGTGCTGCTCCTGCAGGGGCCGCCCACATGGGGGTCCTCCTCCTCCTCCGCCTCCTCCTCCTCCTCCTCCACCTCCTCGTCCTCGTCCTCCTCCTCCTCCTCCTCCTCCTCCTCCTCCTCCTCCTCGTCGCCATCGGGGGGGGCGGCCCGCCCCCGCGATCCGCCGACGAACGACGGGGTGCTGCTTCTGCAGAGGCCTCCCACATCCCCAGACCCCCTGGCGTTGTGAAAAGATCACGACGGGAGGTTTTTGCTATTTTCGGCCTCCGGGGGCCCTTCCCGGGCCTCGGGAGCGTCGAAAACGACTCGGGATGGAAAACTGGTCCAGGGGAAGGGGTCGAGACCTCCAGGGGTCGACGTAATGAAAAATCATGGCGTCGGGGGTCTGTGACATGGGGGTACGAGCACAGCCAACCCGTGGCAGAAGGACGCGCGACAAGGATGCAGGGGCCTTGGAAGGCCATGTTGCAGCTTTTCCAGCAGGGCGCGGCCAGCGAAAGTGGCCAAGGATGGACCGAGGAGGCAGGGATGCAACTGCAGCCTTGGGAAGGTTGCCCATCCTCACTATGCGGGTGCTGCTCCCGCGAAGGACTCCCACATGAGCGACAATCGAAAACGGGTCCCACGCGAGATGACACAGCGGCCTTACGAGGAGGCTTCCGCGGGCCGCCAGTGCGGCACGCCACATTGGAGACGAGAGAGGAGTAACCAAAAACGGACCCCTAACCCTTTGGCAAGGGACCTCAGTTAAGGGGGCCGAGCAACATTGGGCTGAAGGGTCTTTTCTGCAGATGTATCGCACCAAACTAACCCGAATGCAAAAGACGAAAGAGGCCCTGGCAGTCTGGGCGAGGCAGTTGGAAGGCCGATTTGGGGCGACATTTCGTGGCAGCCAGGAGGATGGTCGAGGTGCGGGGCCGGAAGGCTGGCCGAGGTTTGGGAACGGGAGGAAGATCGAGGTGCGAGACCGGGAAGATGGCCGAGCTGGTAACAGCTGCAATAAGGTGCGCGACCGTCCCAGGCCCCCCAGCGCTTACAACTTGTATTCACGATGATGCAGAAGCCTCCGAGAAGAGGGGGTCGAAGGTTGGAGCCAGCTGGGGGGCGGAGGTGACCCAGCACCCCTTCTGGCCAGCAGGAGGGAAAGGGAAAGGGAAAGGGGTTCGAGGTTTCTGGGTTCGAAAAGGTTGCCTGTCTTGTTCTGCCTCCAGGGGCCGCTCTTGGGCCCCAGAACTGTCCAAAACGGATCCAGGGTGAAAACCTCCAACAGATGGACCCCAGAGGGGTTCGGGGACAGATTTTGAACGGATTCGGCCTCGTCCCCGCTCCTGGCCGATTTTCTAAGGCCACAACCAGTTCAGACCCCGGCCGCCTCGAAGTCGAAGGATCGCGCCACATCGCCGACGTCGGCGATGCATCGGCGACTCCAGCGTGGAAAAGCTGGGCTCCAGATCGAGACTCGCCGACGGTGCATCGGCGATGCGGCTCGATCCCTAGACCCCATCTACTCGGACCCCATCTACAGGGGCCTCCTAGATGGGGTCGGAGTAGATGGTGTCCGAGGATCGTGCCACATCGCCGATACATCGGCGATGCATCGGCGACATCGGCGACTCCAGCGTGAGGAATATCGGGCTCCACATCGAGCCGCATCGCGGATGCATCGGCTATGCGGCTCGAGCCGTAGACCCCCGACGCCATGAGCTTTTCATTACGTCGACCCCCAGAAGTCTCGACCCATTCCCCTGGACTGGTTGTTCGTCCCGGGTCGTTTTTTTGACGCTCCCGAGGGCGGGTGCGGGCCTCCAGAGGCCGAACATATAGGAAAACGTGTCCGTCATGACTTTTGGTCATTACCCGGGGGGGTCTGGGTCTGTAGACCCCATATGCCTGGACCCCACCTGGGCGGCCCCTCGTCCTCGAGGCCGGCCGGCATCGGGAGGGCCCGCGCTGCGCCCTCCCCCCCGAGCCCCTCCCTGTAGAGGGACAGGCCCGCCTTACCCCTGGGCCCTGGGGCGCGCCACCCCCCCCGGACAGCCCTGTCCCCCCACACACGGCGCCTGCACGGAAGGGGTCGCAGTCGTCGTCGTCGTCGTCGTCGTCGTCGTCGTCGTCGTCGTCGTCGTCGTCGTCGTCGTCGTCGTCGTCGTCGTCGTCGTCGTCGTCCTTGCCGTCGTCGTCAGCAGAGCTCCTGCGGCGTGCCCGTCAGGATGGTGGCCCAAGACGGCGCCGACGGCGGAGGAGGAAAGAGCGGCGCCGAGACAGAAGCCCGCGGAGGTCCGCGCGGACTCCTGGGGCCGGCGCGCCGCCCCCGCCCCCCCTCCCGGGCTGGCGCGATCCCGGCGCGCCAGCGGCGGCGCAGGAGGCGCCGCCGAGGGGGGCCGGGCGCCGACGCGAGAGATCCGCGCGGAGCTCCGAGAGGCTATCCTTGCGCCCCAGACGCTAGGGAGGCCTCCTCCTGGATCCGAGAGGGGGTCAGGGTAGAAAGGGGTCAGATGATCGCGCTGCGTCGAGGATACATCAGCGATGCATCGGCGATGCATCAGCGATGCCTCCGCGATGCGCCGGCGATGCATCGTCAGCGTCGGTGATGCAGCAGCGACGTCGACGTGAAGCAAATCGGGCCCCACACCGAGCCGCATCGGCGATGCATCGGCGATGCATTGGCGATGCGGCGCGATCCTCCGACCCCATCTAGGGGGCCTGGAGACATGCCAGACATTGATTTCTTCCATACGCGTTCCCCGGAAGCCCCGGCCACCTTGTTCTTCCCGCGTCGTTCTGCGAAAGAGGGCCCCTGGAGGCCGCTGACGGCCACAAGCCTGGCGCCGCTGCATCCATGTGCTTTGCCCACCGCACGAGCACGTCTGGGGAGACCACATGGTACCGACACCGCTGCTGCCTGGACCTTCCCAGGGGCTGCGGCCAGACCAACACTTCGAGTCGAACCCAGCGGTCGGCGACGAGGGCCTCCCAGGAGGCCCAGAGGGAGGAAACGCTTCTCCTCCTCTGGAGGCTGGGGCCGCCGTTCCCTCCCCGAGAGAGGGGCAGCCCGCCGCAGTCGGAGTGGAAGGAGAAGGCGCCCCCGTCGAACGCGAGGCCCTTGAGGGCAGGCGCGCCCGCCGCCAGCAGCGCGTCTGGCCGAGTGCCGTCCAGCAGGATCAGCAGCGCACGCCTGCTCGGAGGACCGCGGCGGTCGCAAACAATCCCTACTTCGCTGCGGGGCCCGGAGAAGTTCAGACCCTTCCCCCCAGGGCCGGTGTTTCACCCTGGGACCCGCCCCCGGAGGCCGAACACGGGCGTAAACCTCCCGCCGTGAACTGTGCAGGACGCGAGCATGTCTGGGTTCGCGACTCTTGTGCTGGCCGTCCTCCGAGAATCGGCGCCGGGGGCAGCCGTGTCCTGTGGGGTCAGCAAACGACCACAACCACATCGAGTACACACGCTGGGGGACGTCTTGCGCATGCCACCAATCGTCAGAACACCGAACCCAACTTCGTACTGCTTGTGTCCGCTGTGGGCGTCCAAGACGGCCAAATCGACCACAACCGCAACCACAGTGTCCATGTCGAACTCGGCGGGTTCTCCCAGGAGGGGCTCTCCAGAAGCATCCACTGAATTGTGGTTGTGGTTCTTTCGGCGGCAGGCCAGGAGGGAAACTGGAAAGGGGCAGGCCTTCTCAAAAGGCTCGCGAGTCCCCCGGCCTTCTGAGAAATGTTCTAACCCTTCCCAGAAGACACAGAACGCTTCTTGGAAGGTTGGGAGGCTTCTGAAAAGTCCGGCCGCCCCCTGAGAAGGCCTGTTCCTTCTCACTTCTCCCTCTCGCGCGCCGTTATAACTCGGGCCTCCGGCGGCCGCTCGGGACGATCCGGGCACCCCCCCGAACGCCCTCGGCGAGGCGCAGCTGGTGGCAAACATCCCGAAGCTGGAGAACCGCCGAGAGTCACCAGCCTCGAACGTATCCCTATCCCTAAGATTGACACGCTAAAAGGAAATGACAATCTTAGGGATACACCCTCAGAAACTGAGGAAATCCCTAAGATCGCCATCGTGATGAGGCGATGTCCGACATAGGGATAGGGATATGTTCCAGGCTGGTAAGAGAGCGTCCGAAAACCTCAAGCCTCAAACCTCGAAAAATAGCACCCGACCTAAAAACCTATTCTAGAGCTATTCTACGTCTTGGTTTTCGGCTGTTTCGTTCAGTCTTTTAGGTTTTTAGGTCTCCTGTGCTAAAACATACCTCTCTGGAAGGTCAGGGTCGCTCGCCGCCGACTCTTATGCTGTGCCTGGGTGTCCGGCCCGCGCGCCGCGGGGCCCCCCATCCGCCCCGCCGCGCGCGCGCGGCCCGGCACCTCTGGGCCCCAGCGCGCAAGGTGCAGAGCACGCTCCCGCGCAGCGTCGCCTGCTGTCGCTTTTGATGGGCCTGCTTTCCACCACCACCACCACCACCATAATTAAGCTGGAGGGAGGAAGGAGGAGGATGAGGAGGAGGAGGAGGAGGAGGAGGAGGACGAAGAGGAGGAGGAGGAAGAGGAGGAGGGGGAGGAGGAGGAGGAGGCCGGCAGGCTTCTGAGAAGGCCCGCCGCCCCCTGAGAAGGCCCGTTCCTTCTCACTTCTCCCTCTCGCGCGCCGTCACACCTTGGGTCTCCGGCGGCCGTTCGAGACGATCCGGGCACCCCCCTCGAACGACCTCGGCGGGGCGCAGCTGGTGGCAAACATCCCGAAGCTGGAGAACCGCCGAGAACCGCCGAGAGCGTCCGAAAACCTCAAACCTCGAAGTTCGACCTTCTCCCCCTCGCTCGCCGCCGACTCTTTTCAAGGGGCCCAAGGACACACAAATAATTGTGTCTGAAGTTCGAATCGTTTCTCTGAGGAAAAGGAGGAGGAGGATGAGGACGAAGAGGAGGAGGAGGAGGAGGCGGAGGAGGAGGAGGAGGAGGACCCCCTTCCCCTCCAACTTAGGGTGGTGGTGGTGGACAGCGGGCCCATCCGCTTTGTTCTTGAGGCAGACCAGCGCGGACGGCAGCTCGTCCGCACCGCGTGCCGCCGCCGCCCGGAACAAGCCGTGAGCAAATGCCACATCGGCAGCCCCCCGGGGGGCGGGCCGCCTCGAGCCCTCTCAGTGGCTGGCCGCGGGCGCAGGGAGCCGGGGCCAGAGCCCCCATTCTTTCGGGTCGAGCAGGACAGCGCGGCGAAGAGCCTGGGGCTGCTTCCCTGGCCTCTCGGAGCCCTCGCCGGGCCCAGGGACCGTCAACGAGACGACTCGGGATCGGAAACCGGTCTGGGGGAGTGGGTCGGGACCTCGGGGGGCCCACGTCCCGAGCGAAGCACGGCGACGGGTTTGGGCCAAGCACAGCGCCCAGAGGAGACGAGGAAATGAGGGAGGCAGCAAGGCACCCCCGTCTCGTCACGCCCTCCAAGCGAAGGGTAGGCTCGCCATCGCTGGGACGTCCCTTCCCTGTGTTTTTTTTGTTTCGTGCGTGTTTTTTTTTCGCCAGATGATCAAGGATGCTCCTCGATTGTCCTCGCCGAAGGAAAAATGCACACGTCCGAGCGATGCCAAGTAGAGAGGAAAAGCCGCCAGAGGCTGAAAGGGCCACGATCCCAAGACGGAGGAGGAGGAGGAGGAGGAGGAGGAGGAAGAAGGGAGTGAACAGAGAGAGGCGGACGAAGAGGATGAGCTGGAGCGCCGCAGGGAGGAAGAGAAGAAGGAAGAGAAGGTGGAGGAATAGGAAGAGGAGGTCGGAGAGGAATAAGAGGAGCGTACGTGGCAAATGAGGAGGGTGGAGATGAGGGTGGAATACTTCGCCCAATACGCTGCAGCATCGCCAAACCGCTTACGAAGGAGCAGGGGAGGAAGAGGAGGGCGAGCTGAAGGTTCAGGTGAAGGCCCGTGGGGAGCAACCTCCAGCACCGCGTGGAGCTCGGGCCCCTCTGGCCGCCCTGCTGGAGATACGGGCTGCGGGCCATCGTGCTGGGAGGAGGGGGGGGGGGCGGCTGGAGGAAATGCAGGAAAAGATGACAGGAGGGGATCAGGAGGACCAGGAATGGAAAAGAGGATGAGCGGGAGGAGCACGAGGGAGGATACAAATAGAGAGAGAGAGAGAGAGAGAAAACAAAAAGGAGAGAGAGAGGGAGAGAGAGAGAGAGAGAGAGAGAGAGAGAAAGGGAGAGATAGGAGACGGGAGAGGCAGAGGATGAGGAGGAGGAGAAGGAGAAAGGAGGAGGAAGAGAAGGAGGAGAAATCCTTGTAGCAGGAGGAGGAGCCAAAATCCCGCAAGGAGCACGAGCGGGCGACCCTCTGGGCCTCGCGATGGGGTGATCGACATGCCGTCTGGACCTTGCTGGACAACCTCTTGGAGCACCTTGGGCCGAGCTCACCCTTCCTGGGTGGACAAACCTGCCTTTAGTAAACCACCCTTTTGCGAAAACGGCCTGAGACCGAAGTCGACGGACATGGACCCGGAAAAGTGACGGCCGCGAAGCCCTCTCGCGACCCTGAAACGGCCAATTCGCTGATTGAGGTGGCAGCGTAGGAGGTCTACCAACCTCCGAACCTTTGGCAACCTCCGGCTCAGCCTTGTTGAGGGGCCTGTTTTCCACCACCACCACCATAAGTTGGAGGGCTTCTCCTCCTCCTCCTCCTCCTCCTCCTCCTCCTCCTCCTCCTCCTCCTCCTCCTCCTCCTCCTCCTCCTCCTCCTCCTCCTCCTCCTCCTCCTCCTCCTCCTCCTCCTCCTCCTCCTCCTCCCTCCTCCCTCCTCCTCTCCTCCTCCTCCTCCTCCTCCTCCTCCTCCTCCTCCTCCTCCTCCTCCTCCTCCTCCTCCTCCTCCTCCTCCTCCTCCTCCTCCTCCTCCTCCTCCACCATCCAACTTATGGTGGTGGTGGTGGAAAACATGCCAATCACTTGTCCTCCGGCGGGCGCCTTCGGGCCCCAAGACCGTCCATAGAGCAACGGCCCAAGGCGGAACACGGGCCCCACACGTGGGAGGGGGAGGGGTCGAGAGCTCGGCCCTGCAGCGCCAAGGCCGTTTTTGCTGCCAGTGCCGCGCTGCCGTTGCTGCTGCCAATTCCGACGCCGCTCTTGGTGCTAACTCCGACGCCGCTTGTGGCTTGCCGGTTCCGTCGTCGTCATGTTTTCCCCTCTCCTGCTCCAACTCCAATCCCGGAGCCGTTTCTGTTGCCGTTTCTGGTGGCCGTTATGTTGCCGCCTCCGTTTTCAAGAGACACATGGTCGAAGACGATTCGAAAACAGCCCTGCCGTTTCCGGGGCCCACTAAGATCGAGCGGTCCAGGAGCCGGCAACTCGAAGACCAGCTCGGGAACACCGATCTGCGCACACGCCTCGGGCCAGCTCGATCGATCCCCGGGAGGCACCTGCGGGGAGGTCTTCGTCGGAAGGATATAAAGGAGGTTGCGGCCCGTTGGGGGGTTCTACGCCGCGTTGCGCCGCGGATGAAGCGGGACTCTGCCGGACTGAGTGGGATCAAGCTGGACAAAGCTTAGGTTGGGCATGTCCTCCTACAGGAGGGTTTTGAACGAAAATGCAAAATACCATGAAAATGTTTGAACAGCAATCAGACATAGTGCAAAAATCTCACCCGATTTTTGTTTTAAAATATTTTTGGATACTCCTCCTGTAGAGGGACATGCCCGACTTTAAGATTAAGCGGGATCAAGCCTGATCTCGGATAAGGGCAAAGTCATAATTTAACCTCCCAGGAGTTGCACCCGAAAGATCCCACGCAAAGAAGGGTTGGGACAGCTCGGACAATGACTTCGTCACGCCGCCGTGATTCATTCACGACGCTCGAAACGAATTGGCTTGCACAACGCGACAATCGAAGAAAAGCGTCGAGAGGGAGCGGGAAAACGGGAGGCCCGAAAACCGGGGGTGGGCTGCGTAAGGAAAAAGGCGGACAGGGCAGGTTGGACAGCTCAGGGAGCCAGAGGACAATGAGAGGCCGCGTTGCCTGATCCTTCACGGCCTCTCAACAAGAAAAAGTGCTAGAATCGATCACGCAGGCTGCATGCCAGATCGATTCTTCCAACCACGGATCTCAGATGTACACCACTGTGGCGGAAGGTGGCTCTCGCGGGGGTGCTCCAATGACAACGTGCGTCCGTGCCAAAGGGCGCTCCAGCTCCGAGCTCGCAGGTGGCTGCCTTGCCAGTGCGAACCCGACTTTCTGCTGCTCCCAATCGTAAGCGCTGTAGTACTTGCTTAGGACGGGCTCGCCCAGAATCCACACCTTCGGACCCAGCGCTGGCATCTCGTCTACTGGCAGCAGCGAAGCCCGACATATGAATTGCGTCTCGTTCGTTGCGTTCGTGATGACACGCAAGCCCGCAGGCCGCGAGTACTCCTCCAGAAGAACCGAAGCAGCATAACGAAAAATGCTTCGAGGTCGGCGTGGACCTCTTGGATCGGTACAGGACCCCCTCCCAGGCGCGCGGAGCGTGCCAGAGGCGCCACCAGAGGCGCCGCAGGGGGGGGCCTCCAGCGCAGACCCAAGAGGTCCGCGCAGGCCTACGAACGTCTATGCTTCTGCAGCTTGCTCTGCTTCGATCCTCCGCGCCGATCGTGATGTTGACGTCGCCGAACTCGAAGACCACGTCCGGGCCAGGGAACGTGCGGCAGTCCACCTGCCCGTCGGGTCGGCTGTCGGCGTCCTCGACCTTGCGGGCCAGCAGCCAGTGCAGGTGCTCCGTCACCTGCCGCGGGGCGCCGAGGAGCGACGTGCCCGTGTCCGCGATGGCGACGCAGTCGCCCTCGTCGCACAGGGCGAGGGGCTGCCCGCCGATCCAGATGCGCCGCACCTCTCACGTGATCCTCGGGGCGTGTGCTGGCGCCGCCGTGTACTTGCCCGCCGAGGCCCGTCGGCACGACGCGGGGGGTGTACTATGGAAGGGCCGAACCAAGCGGCGTGCTGAGAAGGAGAAACACCGCCACAAGCATAAACTTTCGCCAGTCCGCGCGGATTTCTTGGATCCACGCTGGACCCCCCTCCCCGGCCCACGGAGCGCGCCAGGGCGGCGCCGGAGGCGCCGCGGGGGGGGTCCGAACGCCGACCCAAGAAATCCGCGCGGAGCGGCGAAAATGTATGTTTATGCTGTTTCTTTTTGTTCGAGTGCTGTCGGTGGAGCTGGGTGGGGAAGACACACACTGGGCCGACACACGTCTTGAGGTTCACCGAACCTTCAGCTGCCAATATCCGAGCTCCGGCTTGCTCACGGGGACCCACTGCAGCTCCGAGTCCGTGTGCCTGGTGTCGTGCCCGCCGAAGGAGATCTCGCTGGCGACGGAGTCGCTCTTCGAGACGAACACCCCGAAGCGGGGCTGCATCCCCTTGTTCTTGGCCATCTGGCCGAAGAAGCTGAACTCTGGCTCCAGCGCGAGGCCAGCGAGCCCGAGCCCGAGCACGCCGTCGAAGTGGAATGAATCGAAGGGCTCGGTGGTCATCTCGGTGGCCATGATCACGCGCATGGGGGAGCAGCGCGCGCTGTCCGAGGCCGGGGAGACGTTCGTACCTTCGTTGCCGGTGCGGCCGCCGAGGCACACCACCTCCCGCGCGAACTCGCCGACGATCTCGCCCGTGCCGTAGGAGATGGCCACCTGGTCTCGCTCCTGGCTGCCGGGCTCGACCTCCGCGCCGTCGTGGTCCAGGTCCACGGCGGAGCCGGACAGGCTGCGCTCGTAGCGCGCACGGTCAGAACAAGAAACAGGCAGCATCAGCGTAAATGTTCGGAGGCTCGCGCTGACTCATTGGATCTGCGCTGGAGCTCTGGCACCGGCGCGCGTCGCGCGCCGGGGGCGGCGCTGGAGGCGCCACCAGGGGGGTCCAGCGCATATCCAAGAGATCCGCGCGCCCGTCGACTATTTATGTCTATGCGGCTTTTTTTTCTTCTGATGGTGCGCGCAGGGCTCGGACTGGCACTTCGACGAGGGCACGAAAAGGTGGCCTGAGCCGGTGTCGAAGACGACAGTGAACTCCTGCGGCGATGGCAGTCCGACGCTAATGGTCCCAAAGTAGGCCGTTTTGTACATCACCGTGCGGTTGCCGCGCAGCACGGGCACGTAGTGCTTGCTCAAGGGGACCGTGATCAGCTCTGAGGCCATGTCCTTGTCTGACTGTTGCGGTTGTCTCTCCTGAGGGGGAACAACAGGGGTGGGGGGAGGAATGGCCCAGGGAGGGAAGCATCGACCTGGAAACGGCGGCGCATCGTCACTAGATCGGCGATGGGCCCCCGACAGCGAATCCGCAAGCTGGGCGGGGTGGGCTATCGGGCCCCTCTCGGCGATCAATGGGCGATCGGGGGCCGACGCATCATCCCTCCCGAGCCTATCCGTCCCAAGCGTTCCCCCTGATCTCCAGGCAGGAGGCGCCCGTAAGCTGGCATATAAAGCAGATGGAGGAGAGGAGCGCAGCGAGGCTTCGGCCGTGGGCCACCGCCATGAGGGCCGGCGCTCGAAAGTATACGTATAGTCCGAGGGGTTTCGGTGATAGGGCGCGCTTCTGGATATATCCGCGCACTCGATCCGAGATCGATGCACAATGCACAATTCTGGCGAGGCAGTGAGCTGGTCTCCCGAATGGTGATACGCACACCGGCCAAATGTCTCGCCAATCACCAGGCCGCCCAGAACAGCATGCCTCATAGTTCGATGCTCATTCTGGGGACCTTCCTGGAGCCACTCGCTCCACTTGTGCGTCGAAGCAGCGTCGAACCTGAGTAGAACATGAGTCGAACCTGAGTCGAACCTGGGTCGAATCTGAGTCGAATCTGTGTCGAACCTGAGTCGAACTTGTGTCGAACCTGAGTCGAAAAGATCCATTAGGTGGGCCCCAGGAAGGTCCCCAGAACGAGCATCGAATCACAGTCTTGGGCACCCTGCGTGTGACACGTAATCAGGGGCATAATTACGGCCCTCGTGCAAGCTCGTACTGATACCTGGTACCGTCTCGTACCTGCAATAATCAGGGGCAGTCATGGTACCGTCTCATCGAGCCCTGTGCCTCACCGATCGGGCGGGTCGGCGGACCTCGCCAGCTTCTGCTTCTGCTTTTATATCTTCACTGGGCTCCCCGCCAGCCTTCGGGCCACCCACAGTAGATTCGCACGGGGCGTCTCGCAATCTTGCTGTCAGGAATCTACAGGCGCGCTTGTCGTCGGGATCCGAGCTCCCTGAGGTGCCCCAGAGCTTTTGTGGGCCCTCGGGGCCACCCAAAGGACAAACACCTTCTGTGGGACGCCGTGAAGGGGAAACGATGGGGGTGGCGCAGCCGCTGGGGAGGACTCCGAAGCATGAAAACCACCGAGGGCCGACGAACACGCCCGAAAAACCCAAAACCTCGTGCCTCGAAACTTCCCTCCCCAAACCAGAGGCTTCCCTAATGGGGTCCGAGTAGATACATGGGGTCGGGGGAACGCCCCGCATCGCCGATACGTTAGCGATGCATCGACTATGCATCGGCGACGCGGGCGAAGCATCGGCGACGTCGGCGTACAGCATATCCGATCGGCGATGCGGCGCGATCTCCTCCAACCCCATCTATTCCGACCGCATCTGAGAAGTGGCTGCTCATTCCGGGGACCTTCCTGGAGCAACTCGCTCGACTCGCGCGTCGAATTGCGTCGAAGGTCCGTCGATGTGAGCAGGCCTTGAGCCGAACCTGAGTCGAACCTGAATCGAACTTGAATCGAACTTGAATCGAACTCGGGTCGGACTGGAGTCGAACAGACTCGTTAGGTGGGCCCCAGGACACAGTCCCGAAAACAAGCATCTAATGAGAGGACTGAGGTCAGGGACGTTTGGACAGCGTGTCGCGGCGGCGGCCCCGGCGAAATATCCCCTGCACGCGGATGCAGCGTGGCGCTCCGTTCCGCGGGGCCAGAGGCTCGGAGGGAGGCTTGGGGCGTGGACGCTCGGGGACCGGGAGAAACTGGACAGCGTGTCGCGCCGAGGCGCGGTGGGCCAGAACCTGCGAGGTCACACTGAGGAGAACACATATCGTGTTGGGAGACAGGGGTTTGGAGGATGAGAGTCATGATCAATACCATCCGGATGCAATGAACGATACCTTCGGCCGCCTCGGGCAATGATATCCTCATTTCTCCCAACCCCCTTCTCCCGACCTCGTAATTGTCTTCTCGACGTACGCCATCCCCAGATCCCCGACCGTACACGAACGCTGTGCCTGCTTACAGTCCATTTCTACTTGTACGCGCTGCGCTCCAGTGGGTGGCGACATCGAAACCCAATCCCCACTAACTATCGATTCTTCTGAATCAATGGTTGGCAGGGGTTGGGTCCGATCTCCTAGTAGTCGATGTTGCAATCGATCTCCTGGAGGAACGCCGTGAAAAGGAACGGATGGGGCTTTCGTGAGCCCCGTCCAGAGACCAAGGTGGGTTCGGCCCTCGCCGCCGATCCAGGGAGCAGGAGGAGAAGGAGGAGGAGGAGGAAGAGGAGGAGAAATAGGAGGAGGAGGAGGAGACATAGGAGGGGGGGAAGGAGGAGGAGGAGGAGGAGGAGGAGGAGGAGGAGGAGGAGGAGGAGGAGGAGGAGGAGGAGGAGGAGGAGGAGGAGGAGGAAAAGGAGGAGGAGGAGGAGGAGGAGGAGGAATTCGCTGGAATTCGCGGATATCCACGGGGCGGCAGCGAACTCAGCGATCCTCGATCAGCAGCCCAGGCGGCGGGCCACGGAGGACGGCCTCGCGCCTGACAGTGCCCAGCTCACGGGCCTGGGTCGTCGTGGACGGCCCCGCGTGACTGGGAAAAAAACCCCTTCTGAATTCGCTGAAGGTTTTCTGTACCTTTCTTGGTACGGGCCTGGCACTCGGCAACTAAATGACGCGGGTCCTCCGTGACAGTTGCACCGCACGTCAAACAAAAATGCAGTCCAAAATTTGGCTAGAAGTGCAGAACATGCGAGGAGGACAAACCTTCCCCCCCACAGCGACCGCCCCACATGCCCGCACCACCCCATGATGAGCAAGACTCGAACAGGTCCTGGCTTGCAGTATGACGCGGAGTTGCTGCAAATTCAACAATTCTAGCACGGGTTAAGATGAAGCCGGGATCGGGGCAAAACTTGACCGGGATAAAAATCATGTTCGGTTTTTCAAATCACCGGTGGCGCCGCCGAACGGGCCTGCCACGCCTTGGGCGCCATCGGCTTCGCGAGGGAAGAAATGCGCCCCGGCGCGGATGAAGCCACGGCGCGTATTTGGCCACGCGCGCGCCCGAGGGAATTCAGCGCCAGACGCCTTTCACTCCAGAAGGCCCGACGTCAACAAAACAAACTTGAAGCCCCAAGGGGGCCCCAAGGAGGCGGACCGCCAAAACAATCACGCAACCAACGCAACGAAAAAAACACGAAAATGTCAAAAAGCGCGTTATTCAGTGACCTCTTCGGCCACGCAACACCGCGATAATGCCCAAGAAGGCATTGGAACAAAAAGTCCCGCGCGCGGCCAGGCGACTTCCCCGCGCCGCCCCAAAGTTCCCGAAGCGCGCCGAAATAACCGTAGAGAACACCCCGGGAAGTCGTTGGAAAGTCCCCGCGCCATGCAAGATCCGCCACCGAACAATCTCGCGGACACCTAGCGCGTGCGCGCGGGCGTCCACCACGGATGCCCAACTCCGGTTTCCGAGACAAACGCGCGCAACCGCCTGGGGGCCTCGGCAACCTCGCGATTGGCCCAGGGGCCCGCGGGCCCCAGGGAATCGAATACCGAGTTCGCAACTCCGGAAGCATCGGGCGCGGCGCCAGCCAGTCGCTCGTCTCTGGCTGACAGTAAGACGCCTGGAGGCCGGGTAAAACCTAAGGAACCGCTTTTCAGAGACTCACGGAACCAGAAACTGAGGCGCGCCAAATTCTCGCGTCCGAACTTCTCTGAAAATCTCTGAAAATCTCTGAACTACCCACCCCGCGTGAAACATTCCCATAAACCCAAAACCTCGGAGCTGGCCGAAACTCTCTGAGAGTTTTTCGGCCCGCGAAATTTGGCGCGCCCGGATTTCTGGTTCCGAGATTCTCTGAAATCGCACTGCGGCGGCGCCCAACAGGTCCTCGCGCGCCCAGGGTGGGGGCCGTGGACATCGCGGGCCGCGATGGTCCTGACCGCGAGGTCCTTCCACCTGCCCCTCGACGAATCCACGCTCGTGGACACGCTCTCTGCGCTGAGCGTGGACCGCCCCATCCGCCGGCACTTCTGCGCGACGACAGCCAACTGGCCGCCGACGGACAAGGCGATTTTTCTCCGAGCTGCGCGCGCCACCGAAAATGTACAATAGCACCGGGCTCGGGGAGAAACATTTTCGAAGCATTTTCAGGCCGCCAGCGTCGTGGCTGCCGACCCGCCGCGCGCCGACCGAGAGACTGGCAGGGTCCACTACGTCCACGGCGGCGGGCGGGCGCCCAAGAGAACTGTCGCCACGGTGCGCGTGGCGGGGCCCCCGCCCAACTGCAACCGCAAATGCGGTCCCCATGGCGCCACAGGCGTAATATGTGCGACGCATTCTCGGGCCCCCCATCAGAGCATTGACCAGCGCCGAAGTCCCTGAAATACAAACCTACTGCGCCCCCCGTGCAAGCCGCGCACCCGCTCACAATGCTCGTGCACACCAGATTTTCTGCCCGCCCTCAGCAGTTTAATTGAGCGCCCATGTGTTACTTGGGTTCCTCAAGCCCTCGAACACTCTTTGGAAACTTCTGCGAATGCGCGCGCTACGCTCCACAAATCGGCGTTCTATTGTTCTCAGGAACTCTCCCAGAATCTCTGGTTCCGATTTGTCCCGATCTTCCGCTCAACAGACGGGTGCAACTTGGTGACGCAACGAGCACAGCCACTTCCGTCCGGCCCTGACCAAACAGTGCTCGCTCCGGAGCAAGGTCTCGGTGAGGCCCCCAGCGCGACGAGCCTCGGGGGGCCGCTCGGCGGACCAGGGGGCGACACTAATGGAGCCCACCATGGCTTTGGCCGCGCGGCGCCTAATCAGCGCCGCCGTGCAATCCCACGGATCAGTGTCGGGGGGCCGTTGGCCCTGAAGGCCATGGGTCCAAGAAAATGCGGCCGCGCCCCCCGCCAAAGCAGTTGTCCGTGGCACACAACTGCTCCTGAGGGGAGAGGGCGGGGCCCTCGGGGTCAACGTGCGACGGGCCCGCGCAACTTGGACTTCACCCTCTCCTCTCTCGGCCAACGCGGCTCGGACGCGAAACAAGAGGCCCCAACGGGGGCCTTTACACAACCCGCGCTACCTGGACAACCACCCACGATGTAGGGCCGCGTTGCCCGTGACACAACGCATCGGGCCAGGGAAACTGCGAAGCGCGAGTTCAAACGCGCGGACCTCGGCTCTCGGCACCGTCTGACGGCGACATCCAAGGGTCGTGGCAAAGCCGCGGGCCCGCGCCCAGGCCCCTGAGGCTGGCGCCAGAGTTATCGCGG